TGCCTGTTTATGTTATAGGAGAGCCACGTGCCTCCAAGTCTTCACACCCTTGCCTGTTTGTAAATTCAGCACAGTGGTTAATGAGCCGTGTCTGTAAGATGTAACATGTAATATTTGAAAAAAGCCCGTCCGTTTTTTCTTCCTGCCTACCCTCACAGTTTATGTTATAGGAGAGCCACGTGCCTCCAAGTTTTCACACCCTCGCCTGTTTGTAAATTCAACACAGTGGTTAATGAGCCGTGTCTGTAAGATGTAACATGTAACATTTGAAACAAAGCCTGCCCTTTTTTTTCTTCCTGCCTACCCTCACAGTTTATGTTATAGGAGAGCCACGTGCCTCCAAGTCTTCACACCTGTTTGTAAATTCAGCACAGTGGTTAATGAGCCGTGTCTGTAAGATGTAACATGTAATATTTGAAAAAAGCCCGTCCATTTTTTTCCTGCTTTGCCTGTTTATGTTATAGGAGAGCCACGTGCCTCCAAGTCTTCACACCTGTTTGCAAATTCAGCACAGTGGTTAATGAGCCGTGTCTGTAAGATGTAAGATTTATGGAAATGTCTGTTTTGTCTAATAGTATGCATACAATACAGAACTAATTTTACCTTGGTGGTTAATGAAATATAGAAGCAGAGCCGTGTAGACGACCTGTGGCTGCGTTGGCTTGATTTAGAAAAAGCGTCTGTATCTACAATTGACCATTCAAGGGAAAGAGATCGTATAACCTTACAAATCAATCTTAGCACCTTAAGACCCAAAGCAATGAGATTCAGCCCCCATGTCTTGTACTGAGTCAAAGACATTGATGGTTGACCATGGGACTCTTTCCAGGTCAGCTACGAACTCCTCCTCGTTAGACCTTTTAAAAATCCTCGAGGTTATCCACTTTGTTGAAGGTTTGTGCTGTTTCAGTCCACGGTGTGCATACATGTAGATTAGGTGGTAGTCGCTCAGTCCAGTAACTCTTGAGTAACTCTTATTGACTCAGTTATTAGTTGGTTAAATCATAGAGATCACAAAAATGTAGGTCTTTAGCTGGCCCACTGTCAGTAAGCAGGTTGCAGTTTAAAACACCGAGAATTGTAGTTTTTAATTAAGATTTCTAAATTAGATGTAAATGTTGGAGAGGATTTTAAAAGTTGTAAGTTATTTTATCTTAAAGCATTGATGGGGGTATCGATAACCTAATAGAAAGAGAATCAAATGTTAACACAATAGTCATTGATATTCTTGTAATTATTTCATTAAACTGATACTAATGGATGTACTGCTGATTTGGCGTACGATATCACATTTACTACCAAAACATAAGATGAAGGAATCAAATTAAGTAGGTGTGGCCTAATGTAATGAAAATAAATTGGTGTATTGAATATATTGCACGAATTTATTAATAGTAATTTCTAATTCAAATTATAATTCTGCCTTGTACCTAAGGTAAATACGTCATTCAGGTGAGAATTGCACATCCTATTAATTTGGAATTCAAAACCACTACCGTTATCTTACATTACTCTGTATGTAAATACCATTTTAACACCGATTTCTAAAGTGTCAATCAAAGACCTCCTTATTATTTCTACTTGATATGGAAATTAGC